AAAAAAATAAAAATAAAAAAAATAAATAAATTTCTCAAAAATTAAAAAAAAAAAAAAAAAAGAAGTTCTGCTCCAGGGCTGCGGCTATAGCTCAGTTGATATAGTGCTTGCTTTGCACACACAAGGCCCTGGGTTCATCCCCAGGACCACACACACACACACACACACACACACACAAAAGAAGTTCTGCTTGGCACTGAGTTCATAGCTCAGTGGTAGAGCACTTTCCTAGCACTTATGAGGCACTGAGTTTGATTCTCAGTGCTCCATATAAATAAATAAGTTCATTAAATAAAGGTCCATTGACAACTAAATACACACACACATACATACTTTATATATATATATATATATATGTATGTTCTGCTCTGTGAAAGACAATGTGAAAAAATGAGAAGACAAGCCCCAGACTGGGGAAAATATTTGAAAAAGAGATACTTGATAAGTGACTGTTACCTACAATATACAAAGAACTCTAACTCAACAGTAATAAAACAAACAACCCAATTAAAAATGAGGCAAAAGAGATAGGAATTGTAGCACACACCTGTAATCCCAGCTACTCATGAAGCTGATGAAGGAGAATAGCAAGTTTGAGGCCAGCCTCAACAACTTAGTGAGACCCTGTCTCAAAATAAAAAGGACTGCAGATGTAGCTCAAGTTGTTAAGTGGCCCTGAGTTCAATCCCTGGTACAAAAAACAAAACAAAACAAACAAACAAAAAAATAAACACCACACACAAAAACAAAGGACCTGGGCTGGGGTTGTGGCTCAGCAGTGGAGTGCTCGCCTACCATGTGCAAGGTGCTGGGTTCAATCTTCAGCACCACATAAAAATAAATAAATAAAATAAAGGTATTGTGTACAACTACAACATATATATATATATATATATATATATATATATATATATATATATATCTGAATAGACACCTCACAAAAGAAGGTATACAGCTGGTAAGTTAAGTACATAAAAGATGTTCAACATTATGTCAATAGAGAATTGCAAATTAAAACAATGAGATACCATTGCCCCTTATTAGAATGAACAAAGTCTAAATACTGACAACATCAAATGCTGGTAAGGATGTGGAACAACAGGAACTCTGTTACTGGCAAAATGGTATTGCCACTTTGGAAGACAATTTGGCAATCTCTTACAAACTGAATGTACAGTTTTTGGTATTCACTCAAATGAATTGAAATTGTATAGCCCCACAAAAATGAATGTGTAGAGCACCTTTATTTGTAATTGCCAAAACTTGGAAGCAACCATGAGTACTTTGGTAGATGGATGGATAAACTCTAGTTCATCTATAGGATGGGATATTAGTCAGCAATTAAAAAAATGAACAATCAAGCCTAGAGAAGACATGAAAGAAATTTAATGCATATTACTACATGAAAGAAGCCACTGTGTAAGGCTAGTATGGTTCCAACTGCATGACATTTGAAAAAGATAAGCCCAGAGAGATGGCAAGAAAAATTAAAAGTTGCCAGGAGTTAGTGGAAGAGAAGCGATGACAGATAGGCAAAGCACAGGAGAGTTTTGGGGCAATGAAACTACTCTGTGTACTGCAATGATGGATACATGTCACTACACACATGTCAAAACTCTTAGAAAGCACTACACCAAGAGTGAATACTAAGGGAATCTATGGACTTTGGGTGATGCTGATGTGTCAATGTAGACTGAACAATTGTAACAATATACCCATTCTAGGCAGGATTTGATAATGGGAGGGTATGCATATGTGAGGACAAGGATTATATGGGAACTCTCTGTACTTCTTGCTCAATTTCTCTGTGAATATAAAATTGCTTTTAGAAAATAAAGTATATTAGCTGGGCAGTAAACCCAGCAACTCAGAAGTCTGAGATAGGAGGATCCCAAGTTCCAGCCCAGCCTTAACAACTTAGTGAGGCCCTCAGCAACTTGGCAAGACCATCGTCTCAAAATAAGCAATAAGAAGAACTGGGGATATAGCTTATTGGTAAAATGGCCCTGGGTTCAATCCCATTTTTTAAAAAAACTATTCAAAAATGCAAAAATCAAGGTCACTCTAATGGCATAAATATGCAGAGCTTTGATTAAGGGGTCACTGAGTATTGCATCTGATAAATAGTATTTGAGTTTACAACAAAATATTTGAATAATTGTTTAAAGAAAAGGACTGAGCCCTGGGGGTTGCTGGACAATAGTCTGCTGTGTCACAGGCCTAGGGAAAATAACACTGTCCTGAAGGAGATGTGATGATCCAGGACCATCCCAAGCATCCCTCATGCCTCCAGTGATCCACACCACCTAGCAACACCATGGCCTGGCCTGAAACCTGTGACTTCCTCCTCTATATAGGGCTCCACTTCCTTCCTGCTATCTTCCTGTTGTCCCAAGAGCATTTTCTGTGCCCTGGCTTCAACACCAGCTGCTAAATGTCTCCAGTTCTCAAGAGGTCAAGGGGTGTGTGGCTTGACCCAGATTCCTAGGACAGGAAGAAGACTGTCAAAAGGCTTGGAGGTGAAGCAAGTTTACTTCTCTAGCAATTTTTTTTTTTTTTTTTTTTTTGGTAGCAGGGATTGAACTCAGGGGCACTTAACCACTGAGCCACGTCTCACTGAGTTGCTAAGTACCTCATCATTGCTGAGGCTGGCTTTGAACTCGAGATCCTCCTGTCTCAGCCTCCCAAGCCACTGGGATTATAGGTATGAGCCACTGTGCCCAATTTATGCAGCAATCTTAATTTTAAGTCCTGGTTCCTACACTAGGTCTTCCTCACTAAAGTGTCCCCACTTCCTCTTCCTCTTCTGAAATTTTTAAAGCATTTTTGAGTATCAAACCATGCCGCTCTTAGACTCCCCTGGAAGCTGGGGGCATCGAGGCCCAAGGCAAACTCATGAATGTGAGATAAGGACAAGTGGAAACCTGGCCAGGGGCCCTGGGGCAAAAGTGGTAAAGAGCCAGGAGCAATTGCAAATGCCTATAATCCCAGCAACTCTGAAAGCTGAAGGAGGATGATTACAAATTTGAGCCCAGCCTCAGCAATTTAGTGAGGCTCTGTCAAAAAACAAAGAGGGCTGGAGGGCTGAGATTGTGGCTCAGTGGTAGAGTGCTCACCTAGCACTTGCGAGGTGCTGGGTTTGATCCTCAGCACCACATAAAAATAAATAAATAAAACAAAAGGCATTGTGTCCAACTACAACTAAAAAATATTTTAAAAATAAATTAAAATATGGAGACAGATTTCAAAAACATTATTAAAACTGAATTCTAAATTCATATAGTATCAATTATTATCCCATTAATTATAAATTAATATTTATTATGAATTTCTCCTGACCCAGAATTAATGAAAACCCACAAGAAGATTTAGAGATTTCCTCATATATAGACCAGTTTAACTTGGTGCTCTTTCTCTTGTAAGTGTTCCATGTAATTCTTCCTAAAGTGGTTTCAAGTTTGCACTGAGGTTCTTGCTAACAATCACAAAAAGATTCTTGATTTCTACCTAGAGCCTTCCTTTTGTCAGTGGCATAAAGTTTGCTGTTCACAGAAGCTCCCTGATAATGCCTACCATATATTCATATGATTTGGGGATATTTTCTCTGTGGGCACAGACCATAGCACTAATTATCCCTGTAACAGAATGTGCTATTGTTTGACCAATACCTGTGTTTGTGTCAGTCTGGAACAATTAGGCAAGTATCTATACTTATAATTGTTGTTGTTGGGAAAAATAAACTTTATTTCACTGGGGAAAAAAGTAAAAAAAATAATAATAACAATAATAATAATAATAATTAATAAATAAATTAAAATAAAGAAGGCTGGGGATGTAGCTCAGTAGTAAAGTACACCTGGGTTCAATCCAAAAACAAAGTGGAAAAATGTAGAAAGGACACTGGGTGAGCTCATGGGGTGACAGAAACCCAGGTAGTAACTGGGCAGCCAGAACAAGAACCAGGAGCTCAGTAGCCCCAGGGTGTGGCCTCAGTCTCCTCCATTCTCTATGTATCAGTTTGCTCCAGGAGATAGGAACCAAGGCCACCAAACATGCCCAACTCCAACTTCCAGGACAGAAGGGTCCCAATCTCTCCTTCAAGTTCAGTTTGAATAGAAAGAATTCAGATCAGGCAAGTTTGAGATCTTCCCCTGAGGTCAGAGTGCCTGTCCTTGTGAGAATAAAGCCACTTCACCAAGATTATCCCTGGTAATAGAAGGTTACAGTATGGCTGGTGGCCTTGGCTGCAGACACAGAAGGGCTGATTACGGTGTTGCCTCCTAAATGCATGTGGGTGGACTCATCCTGGGTGACCAAGGGCAACTGATGTATGGGAAGCATGAGATGGGGATGCCACCTGCACCCTGACCACCCAGAAGGCCATTCTGCCCACACCAAGAAAGCCTTGTCTTTACAGTAGCAGACCGATCATGAAAATGATAACGATTTTTCTTTTTGTAACTGAATAATTTTAGGCCAACACTAGAAGCTGCTGATTAAAGACCTCCTAACAACTGGTGTTTGGTGGCCAGTCCATATATTTTTGGCAGGCAGGCTCAGCTTCACTCTCTGAGAGCAGAAAGAGCCGAGGAATTTACACACCCTGCGACAACAAGCAAAGACTAAAGCAAGTGGGCAAACACCCACGGCCCCCAACCCTCAGGTGAGGTAATTCAGAGGTGACTTACACACTGGCCCCCAGACTGAGCATGAAACTCCCCATCAAGTCACACCTGATCGGCTGCCTCTCCTTCCTATTGCCTAGGATTACCTCTCACATAAGCCACCTGCACATACTTGTCTCAGGCTCTGCTTCCCGGAGGCCCACACTGACCTGCCACCAGTGGAGGTTGCAGGCAAGGAGGCGGGCAAGATATAGAGACTGCCCAAGAAACCTCTTGGGAGACCCTTGAGCAGGAAGTAGACACCTAGCTCACAGGCCATCTGAAGAGGCACTCACTTGTAGAAGAATGTGTCTATCAAACTCACAAAGGGCGAGGTCACACAACCAGCACTTTTAATACAAAATGAGAAAGACAAGGTCAACCAGCGCAGACTTCCCAAATGCTGCATCTTAACCCTACCTGATCTGCTAGGGCTTGGCACACAAGGGGCTACAGGATGCCCTGCTGAACAGTGTTTCTGAACTGAGGTGGAGCTAGCTGGAGAGGATGCCCTTGCTAACAAAATCTCCAATGATGTTGCTTAAGTATTTGCAAAGGTAGGGGCCAGGGCCTGCCAGGTTGTGGGCCTAGCCGCCCCCACCATGAAGGGAGTCTGCAATGACTGAGGCTTTGGAAGGAGAAGGTGTGCTGTTTTAGGCAGCGCCCCCTAACCCCCCAGCACTAGTGGCTAGTGGGGCTTTAGGAAGGCAGAGTCTAGGTTAGGTCTGACATACATAATGCAGTGGTCTGAGTAAGTCACATGCTGGCAGTTCTAGGCTCAGGATGTTCTGTGATTCTGGTGACCTGAGAATAGACACAGTCCCACTTCTACCCTCACACTGGTCCCCTTGCTGCCAGCTTGTCCCATTCATGTGTCCTGGATATGGCAGCACATCAGAGCAAGAAACAGGTCAGGCAGGAGGCAAATGCCAAGCTTCCCCTGGCTGTGTGTGGAATCTCTATATTCCTTCCCTATCCCCTCAGCGAGCCCCATTCCAGTGAGGGGTCAGCGGGGCCAGGCAGCACTGAATTCCTTCTCCAGACCCTGGACAAAGTGGTCATTGAGGAAAAGCAGCTGACCATGGGGCAGAAAGCGGGTAAGGATGCCTTCAATGCGGTCAGCTCGCAGCAGGAGGTTGGAGCCAGGGGTCAGCAGGCGAAGGTGGTCCAGGAGCAGGCGGGCCAGAAGCCGGATGGTACTCTCGGCCAGCAGCAAGTTCTCATGGGCATCCAGCACCAGGGCAAAGCCCAACGAGAGCGCTCCCAGCCACACTACAGTTCTTGGCTCCTGGAAAGGGTCTCCTGCTGCCAGGCGGAAAGCACCTCGTGGAGCCTCCTGCAGGGGCACAGGCTCGTCTGAGGATGGAGACTGCAGGTCCGTTGGGGGTCGGCCAGATGCCTGCTGCTGCAGCTGGCACATTGACTCCACCTGCCTGGGAAGAAGTGACAGGTCTGGTGAGGCCCAACTTCTGTCATCCTCATGACTACTCTGGGAGCTACCATTAACCCCATATCTCAAGTGAGGAAACAGGTTCAGAGAGACTAAGTGACCTCCCCAGTGCCACAGAGCAAGGAAGTATGACGTCATCTTGGAATCCAGGCCTGGCCTTTGGGCCCTAGACCACTTTACTACATGTGGCCAAGAGAAGGCAGGTTCTAAAAACAGCTTTTTCAGCTAAAAAAGGGCCCCAGGGGAAGAAGAGGCTGTCCCACCCGCTTCATAGAGGCCTTGCTAAAGAAAATTAATGCCATCGCCCAACCTGGGCTACCCAACCTCTCTACCTTCATCCCATCGTGCAACCTTCTCCAAGTAAAAATAAAGTTTTCCATCTTTCCATTGAAAACTCCCTGTGATCCTTCCTAAATTGCCTTCTAATTTGAGTCATGCACAGCCTGGTTTTAAAGCATTTGTTGGGGCTGGGATATATCTAAGTGGCAAAGTATGTGCTTAACATGTGCAAGGCCCTGGGTTCAATCCCCAGCACCAAAATAATAAAATAGTGAAGATATTTGTTTGGTTTTCTGTGCTACAGGGAGGGAGGGGAAGTCAAGAACAAGAGGCTGGCAGGAATCAGTAAAAGTTGCCCAGAGTAATTTCCTACCCAGAATGCAGAGGGGGAAAACTCTGGTAACTAAGTCTGGGATGGGAAGGTTCAAGGATAGCCACTTTGGAACAGTGTTTTCCAAATTGTGCTCTGAATCCAAACATTCCGAAGGACCTTAGTATAAAGATGGCTGGGGTATACATATTCTTTCTTTCTTAGAGATACAGAAAGCCTACAGCACAATAAAAGCCCTGAGAAGTCCTGCACTACAAAGTATGTTGAATCTACACTCCAATCTCAGCTGTGTCACTTTCTAGCTGTATAACCCTGGCAGGTTAAGTTCCTTAAACACTGTGCACCTCATTGCCTCGTATGTAAGGGGGGGATAACTGTAGCTACCTCAAAAAACTATTATGACAATTAAATGAATTAATAATAAATGTGAAATGCTCAAAACATAAATGCTTAGCACATACAGACTCGATGAGTGCTCACTATAATCATGATTATAAAAGCATTAACATTATTTCCTTAAACTTTTCTTGCAGTGATGAGGTTTGAAGTCAGGGCTTTGAGCATGCCAGGCAAATGCTCTATGGCTGAGCTACAGTCCCCAGCCCTCTTCAACCCTCTTTCATATTAACACTATTAACACCTGTGGAAGACTCTGTAGGAAAAACCACTCCAAGATATCCTCCCTGCTTCTTAGTCCTCCTGTGTTGCTGCATGCCCCCAGAGCGCCTATCACAATCGGCCGCGTGCTCATTGAAGCCTGGAGTTGGACTGTGGTTACCTGGCTACCGCCAAAATCTGCTCCTTGCGGAGAAGCCTATCCCTCTCTGCACCATGTGGTCGAGGATCATCAGTTGACTTCTCAGCACCAAAGACACAGGAGTACAGCACTCGACAAAGGCCTGTGTCCTCCGCATTTGGGGCCCTCAAGGTGTGGATGAGGAAAGCGTGGACCATGGCTCTGAGGTGGGTGCTACAGAAAAGCCAAAGACCTGGGTGAGAGTGAAACCCCAGCTTGGGAAGCACCTGTGGGTGTGGCCCAGCAGCATCTGGGGTGGGTCCAGAGGCCAATGTGGCCGGACACTGAACCCCCTCACCCAGCCAACACCCACCCCAGCCTCTGTGATGCCTAGTCAGAGCATCTAGTGGTGAAGAAATCACAGACACCCTAAACCTAATTCTTCAAAACAACTGGCCAAGAATCTCCAAAAAAGTCAAGGTCTCAAGAGTCCAGGAAAACCTGAGGAGCCACTCTAGACTGAAGAAAACTAAAGAAACCTGACAGCTAAATGCAACATGGGCTCCTGAACTGGATCCTAGGCCAGGAAAAAGACAATTTCCACATAGGGAATTACTAGGACAACTGGAAACATTTAAATATGGACTATGGGTTAGAAGATAGTCTTGGTCAATGTTACCTGGTTTTGAATGTAGGAATATGTCCCTGTTTTCAGGGAAAAAAAAAATACATAGAGACATACCTTTAAGTACAGAGATAAAGAGGCACCAAATGCAGCTAAATCAAACCGGGAGGGGTGTGTGTGTGGCAGAATAGGTATACGGAGAAAAGAAGAAATGATAAAGGGGATAAAAGATGTGAAGACTGCCTAGTCTTATCAATGAATATACAGGAAACTGTGTGAGGTGGTACACACCTATAATCCCAGCAACTCAGGAGGCTGAGACAAGAGGATCACAAAGTCAAGGCCAACCTCAGCAATTTAGGGGGACCCTATCAAAATAAAAAATAAAAAGGGCTGGGGCTGTAACTCAGTAGTAGAGCGCCGCTGGGTTAAATCCCCAGTACCAAAACAAACAAACAAAAGTATATGGGAGTTGATTATTTCAAAATAAGTAATAATAATAATAATATCTGGTTAGTTCAGTGGCTGGCCTGAGGGTTGAAAGGCAACGTACAGTCAGCAGGTAGCCATCCTTAAGGCTAAATAGAAAGTCAGTTTGATGGCTGGAACTGTATATATCCCGAAGGCACTTGGAGACCCGAGCCCTTATTCCCTAGCGCTGACCTCGGGTGACCCGCCAGAGGCAACCAGAGCGCGTCATCAGCCGGCGTCCCCCAGCCCCCCACCAGAATAATGGTAGCTGCCGAGGAGCCTTACGTCACTACTTCCCGCAACCCTGCAGTGCAATGCACTTTGGGAATTGTAGTTTCTTATTCCGATCAGCCTGGCGTTGAGAGGGTTTTCAGTTCTGAACGTGCTGCCCCTGCAGCACTAGGACGCTGTTATCGAGGCGTAGCATTCAGCCTTCCCTCAGGGCGGCGGCCTTCGAAATGGGAGCCCAACACGGCAGTGAGCAAGCAATGGCGGCCTCACGATTCATGGGCGCCTGCGCACGCCGGCGGCAGGCACGCGCAAGAGCGCCGCGGGTCGGAGTAGGCGGGGCCCTTGCGTAGCGTGCGTTGCTCTGCGTTCCAGGTACTTTCCGACACTCAGGCCCGGGGCGCAAGCGGGCTTCAGTGTTCTCCACACGGGGATCTGAGTTCTCCGTGGAAGCCGTGCGGGTATGTGCTGCCAGGCTGGAAGCCCTGACCTAGCCCCGCCCCTGGCCACCGACCCGGGCGGCCGCGAGGGGGCGCGTCGCCCTGACGGCCACCAGTGCGCGTGCTTTCCCAGGAGGCGGAGAGTAGCCCGAGCGCGGAGTGCAGGCTCCCTGGCTGCCTGACAACCTAGTGCGGCTCGTGGCTATGCCTCAGGGCCTCGAGGTGGCTGGTTTACTTCCTAGACTGACCATTGTGTGAGGATCAAAGGCCCTGAAAAATTATGAATTTGCAGGGAAATAGGTATATATAGGCAATTTTGCCCATATATAGGGTTCCCTCAGCCGGCTAAGACTGGGGCTGAGTTTGGCATAGAAAGATTTGAACTTTGATCCCAATCCTGTTACAGCTGCGTGTTCCTGGCAGATCAACTTCCGCTGAGCCCCAGTGAAATCCCATAATATAATGACAGCAGGGGCCAGCGCTTAGTAGGGCTGACCTTTTTTTTTTCTTTCTTTCTTTCCATGTCCCACCTCTAGCAGGATCCCTGCTTGACTCCTTGGAGGGAGGCCATCATGAAGAGATTTATACATTAAACTTGAAATGGGCACTGTCAGGTACCAGCCTCCAGAGCCTTGTAAAGACCTCAACCTAGAGACATGGCCCAGAAATATTTGGGGTCTGCCTGGGCCTTACCGTCTGCCCTGCACTGTTCCCCGCAACTGAAGGTGTATACTCCTTCACTTCTTGGCAAGTGAACGGCTTGAGCCTCCCCAGGTATGTCCCAGTGTTCTATGCTGCAGAGCCCCTCTGTACTGGCTGTAGATACCCTTAGTCTGGAATCACCTCCCCTCCCCCTTCCAAATGTACTCAGACCCAAACTTTGGGGAAGGCTTCCTTCTCAGACTGCCCATTGGCCTCTTGAACCATTATGAAGGTCTCCCAGCAGCAGTGGTGTACACCTGTTCCCATGGAGTACACCTGGGTTGTGGCTTCCATCTTCACTTTCCAGGAGCAGACACAAGGCAGGACTGAAGGGACCTGAACACCCTTCCTGTGATAAGAAATGAAGGGCCAGGTGCAGTAACAGACCCCTATAATTCTAGCAGCTTTGGAGGCTGAGGCAGGAGGATCTTTAGTTCAAAGCCAGCCTCAGAAACTGCTAAGTGCTAAGCAACTCAGTGAGACCTTGTCTCTAAATAAAATACAAAATAGGGCTGGGGAGGTGGCTCAATGGTTGAGTGCCCCCAAGTTCGATCCCTGGTACCAAAAAAAAAAAAAAAGAAAAAGAAAAAGAAAAATGAAATGAGGATAGGGCACAGTGGCCCAAGCAGGGGTCCTGGAGTCAGAATCCCCTGAGAAAGTACACTCTGGGCCCTTTGGCCTAGGACCCTGGGGAGCAGTGCTGGCTAAGGTATGTGAGCATTTTGACCACAGGTATAACATTTAAATGTATTTGTAGGTGGAGGGATAGGCCCAAAGATAGTGCAGGGCCTCAGCCACTGAGCTGGTGAGTGATGTGGACTGATGTTGGCTGAGTTCCTGGTCCTCAGTTCTTATCACTCTCAGTCAGGCCTCATGTTTGCCAGCTGATTACAGCAACGAACTGGCAGAGGGCTTTATTTGGGGGCCCATCTAGCATCTGGAACACAGGTTTCTGACCTCTGTCTTCTCCTTAGGCAGTGAGTCTACACTAAGTTGCAGATCATAACAGGACTGACCTTGTATAGAGTTCATGGAGGAGACAGGCTGGCCTGAACCACTATTCTGGAGGACTGTGGAGAACCCAGAGGAGTGATATCATGGAGGGTTTCCTCAGCCTTCTGGGGAGTGGCCGTGGGGGTGGAAAGCAGCAGAGTGGGAAGTCTCACCTGATGGTTTTGCTGAGGGCTGCTTATGGGAGAGCCCTTCTCCTTGGCCACTGGCCTCTTCTATATCCAGGACACACTTCAGGACACACTTGGGCACCATGGAAATATCTACCCAGCCAGCAATACTTACTCAGCCAACCACACTGCTTTGTGATCTAGCAGTTCTACTCTTGATACATACCTGGGTGAAGTGGGAGTCATTAGTCACCAAAAGACATGTGAAATGTTCTCAGTAGCTTTATTCTTAATTGTTTCAAGCTGGAAACTATCCAAATACTTGTCAGTTATGAAATGAATAAATACATGTGTATTCTTGTTTGGTAGAATACTATATGACAATGAAATAAAACTACTGATATACATATGGATAACCTCACAGACATAATGTTGAGTGAAAAAAAAAAAACTAGTCACAAAAATGTAGACACAAGCAAGGTGCCACATGCTGCATGCCTGTAATCCCAGCAGCTTGGAAGGCTGACGCAGGAGGATCACAAGTTTGAGGCCAGTCTTAGCAATTTAGCAAGGCCCTAAGCAACTTAACAAGACTCTGTCTCAAAATAAAAAAAATAAATAAATAAAAAGGACTGGGGATATGGCTCCATCCGTGGTAAAGGGCCCTGGGTTCAATTACTGGTATAAAAAAAATAAGTAGACCCCATGTGATTTCTTTAGTAGAAAGGGTGTAAATTGGCCAGGTATGGTGGCATACAACTCTAATCCCAGCACTTTGGGAGACTGAGGCAGGAGGATGGCAAGATAGAGGCTAGCCTCAGCAACTTAGCAAGACCCTGTCTCAAAGCAAAAAAAAAAAGTGGGTGGCTGGGATGTAACTCAGTGGTAGAATGCCCCTGGTTTTAATCACCAGCAACACACACAAAAGAAAAAAGATAAAGGGAAAGTGTACAAATCTAAGCAAGCTGTTCTGCACAATTACAAGTCAGAATGGCAGTTATCCTTGAGAGATAAAGACTGGAAGGACATGAGGGAGCTTTGGGAGACAGTCACATTCTGTGCCTCAATCTGGGTGATGATTATATTGGCACATTCACCTTGCAAATATTAACCAAATTGGACACTTAAGATATGAACACTTTCCCATATATTTAATTCAACAGAAACTTCAGTAAAAATGAAAATTTCAGCCAGGTCCACTTCCCTCATACAGTCCTCATTTTTATGTGACTCATAGATGGTGACAATTTCATTAAAATATCTTCTTTGAAGTCTGATAGAATCCTTCCTCTGCACTAGAAGAATGCAGGCTTGAGTTAGGAATAGTGGAGATTTAAAATACGAATTTGTTTTTTCCATGTACTGGGGATAGAGCATGCTGGGCAAGAGCACTATCACTGAAGTGCATCTCCAGCACAATGAAAAGAAACTTTTAAGTACAGCCTCTCATTTAGCAGATGACTAAATGGCTCCTTGATGTGGCCCCCATCACACAGCAGAGTGCCCAGTGGAAAGCATTTATTTTAAGGCATGAACTCTGCTTCCCACAACAGCCAGCCTGCAGAAGAGAGGAAGAATTTGACCAAGATTGCAAAGGATAGTCATGGTCTGAAATAAAAGGAAGACATACATTTTATTCATTCGTGTGCTCATTTGCTCTTTCTGCTGGGTACATTGTCTGGGTACTCAAAGAGTTTCCAGGGCAGGCTCTGGGCAGACAGGTGGGACAGATAAAACGGAGACAGAGAGGTCCAAGAGGCTCAAGAATGGGAAGAAGCCTGGAGGAGCAGTCTGGGAATATTACTCAAAGGTAACATCTAAACTGGGCTTTCTGAAGAGGTAGGAAGGAGTTCAGAAGCTGCACCTGGCAGGAAGGGCATTTTGGACAAGAGGAGTAGGTCAGAACAAACCCAAAGTGGACCAGAGGTCAGTCAGAAATGCCTCCCAGAATTTTCCAGATAAGGAAGGAATATAATTTTGTGTGGGCTGGATTGTTTGTTTTGGGTTTTTTTTTTTAATGTGGTGGTATGAGGGATTAAACCAGGGACTGTCTACCACTGAACTGCATCCTCAGCCCTTTTTTATTTATTTATTTATTATTTTTTGGAAACAGGGTCTTGATAAGTTGCAGAATCTTGCTAAATTGCTAAGGATAACCTTGAACTTTCGATCTTCCTGCCTCATCTTCCCGAGTACCTGGAATTATATGCATGCGCCATCACACCCAGTTCATATGATACCATTCCTTGACCTTTTGTAGCACACAGTCAACTTGTGGCCCCTGAAGTCAAAAACACTATGCTGCAGGGCATGGTGGCACACACCTGTAATCCCAGTGGTTTAGGAGGCTGAGACAGGAGGATTGTGAGTTCAAAGCCAGCCTCAGCAATGGTGAGGCACTAAGCAACTCAGTGAGTCCTTGTCTCTAAATAAAATACATAAATAGGGCTGGAGATGTGGCTAAGTGGTCTAGTGCCCCTGAGTTCAATCGCCAGTAATAAAAAATAACATAAAAAACCCACTATGCTGAGGATAGTAAGGCAGGAAGGAACACGGGCCCCAGAGGTGCCACAGTCTTCTTGCTGAGCACACATATTTATGTAATGAAGCCACTGGTCTTAATGGGTACTCAGTAGATCAGTACATATTGACAACCCTTAATCCAGAGGCAGATAAGGGCATTGATTAGCATTGGAAAGACAGGTAGGCTTTTCTGGGTCTGGTAGCAGCTCAGAAGCAGGGGGCAGGAGAAGGATACAGGCTGGGAGTCCTGGGGTTACAAGACCCATCCTGAGGACAACACAGTGGAGACTGAGGGTCGTAGCAGTGGGCTACAGGTTCCTTTTAGAGTGGTTAGCCTAGAATCTGAGGCAAAGCCAGTATACAGGATCAGGTATACAGAGACAGAGAAGGTGAGAAGGAACAAAAGTACAATTTAATAAAGCATGCTGAGAAAAGAGGAGCTTGAAGGAAACAACCCCTCTGGGGCCCTTCCCTCCCTTGACAGTGAGCAGAGGCACCCACAACTTAGGTGCTCCCTTACCCAGCCCTGCTCTCTCAGTGGTTCTCTGAGTTGGGGAATTGCCTCAAGCCCCGCTCTTCCCCCAACCCCTTTCTCTATTCCCACACTCCACTGCCCTTCACCCATGTAGGGGTGAGACCGCAGGTGGCCTGGGGCTTTCCTATTTGAATCATACTTGGCACCCACTACTGAGCTGCTAGGATACCTATGCAGGGACTGAATTGACTCAATTGGGAAAATGAATTCTACTCTTCACCTACTCAAGCTAGGTCCTGATTAGCTGATAGACAGTCAGGCTTGATAATCTCTGCTGCCTTTCTCAGACATCAGAACCAACTTCCAGGTCCAGTTGGCTCATTTCTTTTTCTTTCTTTCTTTTTTTTTTTTTAGAGAGAGAGAGAGAGAACTTTTCAATATTTTTTTTTTTAGTTTTTGGTGGACACAATATCTTTATTTGCATGTGGTGCTGAGGATCGAACCCGGGCCGCATGCATGCCAGGCGAGCGCGCTACCGCTTGAGCCACATCCTCAGCCCCCAGTTGGCTCATTTCTACTCCCTCCTTTTTTTTTTTCCTAGTATTGAGAATTGAACCCAGGGGTACTTTTACCACTGAGTTACATCTCCCACCCTTTTTTATCTTTTATTTTGATTTTTTGGTTTGTTTTGGTACTGGGGATTGAATCCAAGGGTGCTTAATCACTAAGCCACATGCCTAACCCTTTTTATTTTTTATCTTGAGACAGGGTCTTGCTAAGTTGCCTAGGGGCTTTGCCAAGTTGGTGGGACTAGTTTTGAACTTGTGATCCTCCTGCCTTGGCTTCCCGAGTTGCTGCAATTACAGGTGTGCACCCCCACCTGGCAGCCCTGTTAGTTCTTTTTCTTTTTCTTTTTTTTGGTACTGGGGGTTGCACCCTGGCACTTGGCCACTGAGCCACATCCCCAGCCCTATTTTGTATTTTATTTAGAGACAGGGTTTCATTGAGTTGCTTAGCACCTTGCTGTTGCTAAAGCTGGCTTTGAACTTGCCATCCTCCTGTCTCAGCCTCCCGAGCCACTGGGACTACAAGTGTGCGCTGTCGTGCCTGGCCAGGCAGTAGACTTTTTGACTGACTCCGTGTTAAAGGTGACTAGCATTTCTCAAAGAGCAAGGCAGAAACTATGAGAAACTAAGAGGAGGAGGGGTGCTTTTTTGAGAATCAAGACAGGCTGAATATTGGGTGGATTTTGGCTGCCCAAAAGTCAGACAAGACTTGTCCCTCCCTCTACCCCACCTCCTTGAGCCATCTCAGAGTTGGCACCACCATGTGCTAAGAGCCTCCTACAGGTCTCTCACACAGTTTTCCCATCCTCTGTCTCCCCCAAACATCCATCCGTAGCTTCTACCCAGACTGGAGCCCACGCTGCCTGCCTCCTGCACACTATAGGTGGGCTTTCTCCTATAACCCATACCCAGGGACCTGTTCATGTGCAGGAAGGGGAGGGACCCTCCACAACAGCCCCTTTAATTAAATTAATTAGGCTGTTCCTTTTAACCATCCTGATTTCCTTTTAGTTTCTACACTGGCCCTTCGTGCGTAGTAACAGCTGTAGCAGACTCTCCTGTGGCACTTGTCGGCAGGCCCTGTTCTGAGTGCTTTACTTACACCAAATCATTAGATCCAGTTTGCAACCCTTTGAAATACAGTCTTTATTATCCCCATTTTACAGATGAGGAAGTAGGGGCCCAGTGAGATTAAGTAACTTTCCTGATATTGCACGTGGTATGTGGGACGTGTACATATCAATAGATTTCAGCCTGCCCCTTGCACTTCCCTTGTGTGTCTCCTTCTCCCATATCCGGTCATGGTTACCACAAATCTGACTCAGTCCCTTTCCCACAGATCTCTGGAAGGTCATTAACCCTTCCCCAACCCCAACTCAGCTAATTCTCTACAACTCAACCCTGGGAGCTGCCTTCCACTCCAGGATTGGATTGGATGGCCTTCTTTCCTGGTACTCCCATTTTCAACACAGGAACACCCCTCCTCCCCCATGCATCCCTCCTTTCAGGGAAGTGGCCTTGGCTGGGCCCCAGGAGGACTAGGCTATATGTGATTCGTCCTTTCAAACAGCCACGCTTCCTGCAGGGCTGACAGCCAGAGGCTCCACAAGGCAGTGTGGGCCCAGCCACGTGAGGCCCCTTTCCCTCCCCGCTGCCCCAGGCCCCACTGACTCAGAGCCTGGCAGCTGTGGTCACCCCCCTTGGGGGGTGCATGCCAATGCGGGTGGGGTGGGGCTGCCCTCCCTACACTCCTTGGCAGCCACACAGACTCCTGTGTGGGGAGGGTGGGGATGCTTCTTACCTTCTGTCCCATAATCAACTGTCTTCTTTGAGCACTACATTGTGAATACTCTCACATCATCCAACATTCTCTCCAGGCATGACTTTGACAGCTGCAAAGCAGCCACTTCTCCATCATTACTCAATTGTCCTTTCCTGATTAATTCCAGATTCTACGTGTCCATGGACCTTCCCATCTAAACTTCTTTCTTCACCACACCAACAGCTTTATTGCCTGTGGAAAGAAGGATGTCCTTCTGTTCAGTTTCAGGGATCAGGGATGAAGACCTTATAGAAATCATACTTTCTAGATTGTCATGGGCTGTTGTCAACAGAGGACTCAAGCCAGTTAACACAGAGCTAATTAACTCTAAAGAGTCACTGATTTTTTTTTCCTTTTTGTTGGAAAAAAATTTTTTTTGAAAAAAAAAAAACCAACATACTGAGCACATCCCCAGCCCTTTTAAAATTTTATTTAGCGACAGGGTCTCACTAAATTGCTTGGGGCCTTGCTAAATGGCTGAGGCTGGCTTTGAACTTGTGATTCTCTCAGCCTTCCAAGTTGCTGGAATTATAGGCATGTGCCACCACACCTGGCTAAGTCACTGATTCGGGTGTTTTTGTTTGTTTGTCTTTGCTTTTGTTTTTTGGTACTAGGGATTGAGCTCAGGGGCACTCAACCCCTGAGCTACATTCCCAGTTCTATTTTATATTTTATTTAGAGACAGGGACTCACGGAGTTGCTTAGTGCCTTACTTTTGCTGAGGCTGGCTTTGAACCCACCATCCTCCTGCCTCAGCCTCCTGAGCACCTGGGATTCCAGGCATGTACTACCATGTTCGGCTTAAATCACTGATGTTTAAAGAATCTGAATTGACAGAAAAAAATCAAAGCAAGTCATGGTGGCATAGGCCTGTAATCCCAGTTACTAGAGAGGCTGAGGCAGGAGGATTGCAAATTTGTGGCTAACTTCAGAAATTTAGTGAGACTCTGTCTTAAAAAAATAAAAAGGGGGCTTGGAATGTCACTCAGAGATAGAGCACCCTTGGATTCCATCCTCAGTATCTTCCAAAAAAAAAAAAAAAATCAAGACTACGGCAAATATTGTCTCATTTTTCAATATAGGAGTCAGAAAAAGACTGAATCTGCATCACTCAAACACCTGCTGAGGCCACATGATAGTATATGGGTTCAGCACTCAACATTTGCCAGAGTTCTTTGCTATATACAGAATCCACATTCTCTGTTAAGAGATAGAAATTACAATTTGCCAATTTTAAAATTTTTTTCTTTCTTTTTAAAATTTGTTTTTAAAAAAATTTGGTACCAGGGATTGAAACCAGGAACATTTAACCACTGAGCCACATTCCCAGCCCATTTTAATTTTTTATTTTGAAACAGGGTCTTGCTAAGTTGCTTAGAGCCTTACTAGGTTGCTGAGGCTGGCTTTGAACTTGTGATCATCCTACCTCAGCTTCCCAGGTCGCTGGGATTATAGGCATGCACCACTGTGCCCAGCTACAATTTGCCAATTTTGACAAGAATGTGGAACAAGATTCTTAGACATTGTTGGTGGGAAGGTGAGTTGGTGTAAGGACCTTGGAGAACTGTGTGGAAAGTACTGAAGCTGAACACCCTGTACTTCTTGGTATGCTCCCGGCACTATTTTCAATTTCCAATAGGGTAGGATGAATATGTTCCATATCTTTTTTTTTCCTCCCCCAAGTACTGGGGCGTTCTACATCTGCAGGGCTTTTTATTTTTAGTTTTGAGACAAGGATCCTCACTAAGTTGCCAAGGATCCTTCTGCCTCAGCCACCCAAATTGCTGGGATTACAGGAGTGCCCCACTGTGTTCTGTATATCCTGATTGTGGTAGTGAATACAGAACTGTATGGACTGGTCAAAACTTACAGAACTATCTGGGCACAGTGGCACACACCTGTAATCCCTATGACTCAGGAGGCTGAGGCAAGAGGATCACAAGTTTGAGGCCAGCCTCAGCAATTTAGCAAGGCTCTAAGCAACTTAGCAAAATCTCATTTCAAAATCAAATAAAAAGGACTGCAGATGTAGCTCAGTGGTAAATCACCTCTGGGTTTAATCCCCACTACCAAACAAACAAAAATACAAAAACAAACCTCACAGAACTATATGCTCAAAAGGGTGAATTTTACTACATATTAATCACTTTTTTTTCCCCCAGTACTGGGAATTGAACCTAGATGTTCTCTACCTCTGAGCTACATTTCAACTCTTTTTATTTTTCATTTTGTAACAAACTCATCCCTAAATTGCCAAGGGTAGCCTCAAACTGCCCATTGTCCTGTCTCAGCCTCCCAAATCACTGTGATTACTGATTATGGAGTGTGCCACTGTGCCCAGCTAATTTTTTTTTCTTTTTTTTTTTTTTAAGTTTATTTTGTTCATGGTTCTGGTCCAAGGTCAGTGGCCACATCTGGTGACAGTCTTCTTATTAGCAGAGTCCTGAGGCAGTGCTGGGCATCACATGGCAAAAGACAGGGAGTGTATGTGTGTGTTTGTGTTTCCTCCTCCTTCTCCTCCCCACTCCTCCTCCCTATTCTCTTTCCCCTCCTTCTCCTCCTCCTCTTCCTTTTTTTTAAATATTTGCTTTCTTTGAGATATGTCTATGTTGCCCAGGCCAGCCTTGAAACACTGGGCTCCAGCAATCCTTCCGCCTCAGCCTCCTGAGTAGCTTGGACTACAGGTACATGCCACTACATCAAGCTATACTCTAATTAAAAAAAAAAAAAAAAAAAAAAAAATTCAAAACAGAAGAGGTCTTGGGATATAGTTCAGTTGGTAGAGCACTTATCCAGCATGTGTGAGACCCTGGGTTGGATCCCCAGCCCCATAAATAAATAAATACAAAAGAAAAAAGAGTAGAATGAATTAATCCAATTAAAGGATACATATCCATATCATGAACTACTTACTCAGCAACAAATTCTCACTAAATGAGAACATGACGAACATCAAAATCATTAGGCCAAATGAAAAAAAAATCAGAAGAATACTAACTCTATGATTTCATTAAACCAAACTACCATGATAGAGGTCACAATAGGAATTACCTGTGGAGTGGGAGTCATGGGAAGAACATGAGGGACCTCCTAAAATTCTAGAAATAACCTTACCCCACATGGTGGTTGGTTCTTCAGGTCCAGAGTCTATGCTGATGATGTGTTATTTTGAGGAAATGCTGGATATTCTTCCTTTAAAAAAAAAAAAAAAGTGTCCTTAAACATTGTCATTGCAAAAAAAGTGACTGAGTGTGCAACTCAGACCATGAATCAGATGGAAATTCTTTCCCCCATGCCCACCCCCCTAGACCCCACTGGTGCCTGCTGCCTTGTCTGGGCCAGCACCGCCCAGCTCCCTGTGCTAGTGCCCAACTCCACACAGCTCTTTAACCCTGTGAATGCACAGCACGTGGCTGCTCCTGGGCTCCTGGCAGGCTGGAATTCCTGCCCCGCCCTGGCCCCAGCAAAACAACCTTCAAAACTGGCTGGCAGCCCAGGATTTTAAAGGCCTCCCTGCCTGATCTGTTTCTCTTTAAGAGCATCCAGGAAGAAAGTTAAAGCTTCCCTGCTGGGGGAAGGGGAGAAGGGGCACTCTTCCTGGTGTCCTGAAGTTTCCATAGGAAGCAGGTCCTGGCCTGAGTCAAAAGCCAAGAGGCAAACCCACAGCATCCTTTGCCCAGATCCAGGTCCCTGCCTCCCTCAAGGTGGATGCCAGAACTCACTTTGGCCTTCTCTTGGGGGACTTTTTCTCCTGACTTGACTAAGTGTCTCTCTGAGGCCACCTCCCACCTCTTTGGCAAAATGAGCTAAATGTCCTCTAGGGAGGCTGAAGAGGCTATAAGTCTAAAAGCGTTTGCATCATACTAAGTGTCTCATGACTGCCACTATGACTCTGTTGGTGGGACAGAAGTGGCACGGACATCAGCACCTGGCACAGGCCTGGGTGCTGTAGATATTGGGTCCATGCTCCATCCTGTTCAGGTGTCCTGATCTGGATAATGCAGGAAGAGGACATTCACAAGTGACACAGGTCAGGTCAGCCCTCCAGCCCCATTGGCTGCTAGGACCAAGGTGGGAGGTGAAGGGTGAGAATCCAGGGCAGGCTGGAATGCCTGCTCTGCTTATCTGCTATGCGACCTGCTTCCAGCTGCCTTCCTATGAAACCAGGGGGGAGGGTGGAGCAGGCAAGTCTCAGTATGATGATGCCCAGAGCTCTCAGCTTTTCATCTTGAGACAGGGTCTCACTTAGTTGCCCAGATTGGCCTCGAGTTTGGCAATCCTGCCACCACTTCTGAAGTCACTGGGATTACAGGTGTATGTCACTGTACCTGGTCCTGCTGACGATTTCTTTTTTTTTCCTCTGTACTGGGAATTGAATTTAGGGGTGCTTTACCAGAGCTACATCCCCAGCCCTTTTTGAGAAAGGGCCTCACTAAATTGCTGAAGCTGCTCTTAAACTTGTGATCCTCCTGCCTCTGCCTCTGGAGTAGCCAGGATTTCAGGTGTGTACCACCACGGACAATTTTTTTCTTGATATCAGGGATTGAACCAAGGGGTGTTTAACCACTGAACCCATCCCAGCCTTTTTTATTTTTAGACAGGATCTCATTGAATTGCTTAGGACCTCACTAAATTGCAGAGGCTGGCTTTGAATTTATGATCCTCCTGCCTTAGACTTCTAAGTCGCTGGGATTACAGGCATGCCCCATTGCACCTGGCTCCCATTGACAATGATTTTTTAAATTTTTATTTAGTTGTAGATGGACACAATACCTTTATTTCATCCACTTATTTTTTATGTGGCGCTGAGGATTGAACCCAGTACCTCACACATGCTAGGCAAGTGCTCCACCACTGAGCCACAACTCCAGCCCATCCCACTGACAGTTCTTGAGGCATGCTGGGGTCACTTACTCTTGCCATTGAGTGTAGGGTTTAGGGAAGGTAAGCTCGGAAATGCTTGGGTAGTCAGATGAGGGGAAAGTCCTGGCAGGAGTGTCTTTGATACAAGAAATGGAAGACTTCAAGAGAAGATGGAAAGGGAACCTGAGATACCTTAATAGAAAGCCTTCCAGCCTCTGCTGGCCTGCTCCCTGCCCCAGTCCCACCACTGTGGTCAGCTTTGGTTTTGTCAAGGGCTTCAGAGATCACAGTGCTGCTTTCTTAACTTGCTTAGTGCTTTATTGAACCAAGGCCTTAACAGATGTCTCATGGGGCCTTCAAGCACAACCCTTCCCCCACTTTGAGATTCAGAATCCAGAGGTTGCTCAGTCCTTGGTTTAGCTGCTTCCACATTTTTTCCTTGAACAATTTTTTTCTTGAATATTTCCAAACGAAGTGTAAAGACTTTTTGTTCACATATACATTCCTGCCACAGGCTAGCATGTTCACCAAAATGCTTCCACTCAATTTATATGCACATGTGTGTGCAAGGCACCATGCATCCATGGCCATCCACCCGCCCACGGTCCGTCCGTCCGTCCATCCATCCATCCATCCATCCATCCATCCGTGACAGGACAGCAGCAAGTTCTGACCAGTCAGGCCCTAGGATTCACAGCATTGGGGCCTCCAGTAGGCTCCTGATTCAGGCCTTAGCCCCTTCCTCAGGGACTTCCAAAGATAATAACATCCCTTTCTGGGGCAACAAAAGCCAGGACCAGGGAGTAACTGCTGTTTGAATCTCTAACCCCAACTGGACAGGGGGAGACTACAACCAGTGATTGTGTCCTGAGACAGGTAAAAGTTAGACAAACAAATCAAGCACGCAGGTAATACTGCAACAGGAAAGAGTAAGAGCTTATGTTTATACTGGAGGTGCTTGGACAGAGGGACAGGAAAAAGAAAGGGACAACATGCAGACACACCCATGATTCTTGCAGAGGCAGGGGCAGCCCTGGCCCATCCTCGTCCTCAGGGGCAAGGCTCTCCCAACAGCCTCAGCTGAAACATACATAAAGGGACTTTTCTGGACCAGAAAGACAAAAGAGTTGACCCAAACAGGAAGGAAGAAAAGCAAAAAGGTTCCTGCTGAACACAAAATATTTCCTCTGACCTGGTTTTAACCCACCAGGCTGGGGTCTTCCAGGGGTGGTGTTAGCACCAGGGTATGGAAAATGACTGGAGTGAGACAAGGGAAATCAGGGACAGGGGCGACAGACAGGACACCCATGCTGTCTTTCCCCTGGATAGCACCTGAGGCCTCTAGAAGGCCCATGGTACAATAGGCACCAGGACCTCACAGGGCCAGGATGGTGGCAGGACTGGCTCCTCACTGATCTTGTAGCCGGCTACAGAGCTCCCTCCGGCTTCGCTCCCCAGCCCAGCTGCGTGTCTTCAGGCGGAAGGTCCTCAGCTCCTCCTTGAAGGCCTCGTGATTCATGGGCCGGTAGTTCTGGGGTTCGCAGAAGTTCTAGGGCAGGATGGAAGGGGTCTGTCAATTTGGAGGAAAGGGGAAGCCAGCCCTTCCTTCTCCTTCTCTTAGGACTATGACCTGGCTAAGCCTTTTCCCTGCAGTCTGTCACCCAGAGGATGTAGCCACCCCCATTCATGTACCGGGTGCTGTGGGAAAAATTCCTTGTAGCCGCCTTTGAGGATATACATCTCCGGGTAGTACAGGCTGGGGTAGTCGTTGGCTGCGCGGTCTCGTTCCCTGATAAATCGGCACCTGGAACATTACAGTGGGGGGTGGGGGGATCAGAGCTGGCCATGTGGTGGGGTCTAGATGAGGACTTATTCCCTCATCTTTACACTTTGTTTGGAAATATTCAAGAAAAAATTGTTCCTTTGAAGGCCTTGGGAAAGCCACAGAAGGTTTTGTTTTTAAATTTTTGTAACCTTTATTTTATTTTTATGTGGTGCTAAGACTTGAACCCAGTGCCTCACACATGCTAGGCAAGTGGTCTGCCACTGAGCCCAAGCCCCAGCCCCATCCCCAGCCCCAGCCCACACACAAGTTTTTGAGCACAGGAATATCAGCCAGTAGAGGATAAGTCTGCTGGTCTTTACTGGGCAAAGAAGAGGCTGGGGTGATGGCAGGAGGGAGGTGCTGAGCTCTATTTCCAGAGAGCAGTTGCACAATATTCAGTAGAGAAATCTGTGGCCTAGCCTAGGAAAGAGGAAGCAGAGAGGTGATGAGTGGACATAATTCAAGAGATATATTCAGGGCTCCTGAAACAGACTAGCTAAGGACCAGAGACACAGCTGAAAGGCTTGGCTCACCGCTCTGGCCATTCCAACAGCTCCAGCAACTACAAGCCTGTGCAGGAAAGGCCAAGGGCAGGCACTAGCAGGCTGGGCAGACAAAGCTGGGACTCACATGCGGGGCCCACGCTCAGATGAGAATTCACAGTGGAAAATGAGGATGATTCTCTTGTCCAGGTTACAGGGCATGATGGGGTGTTGCAGCAGAAAGGTCTCAGCATCCCGTTCCAGAGGCAAATTCACAGCAGTCTGTCAAGAGATGCTAGAGGTGAGGCCACAGCCCTGCACCTGGGAGGCAGACCCCTCCCCCTCTTGTTCCCAGAGAGGTGACCCCATCTTTCTTGGGCAAGTTCCCTACCATGAGAAGGCACACATGGGCCCTCTACTGGTTGAGCCTTGCAGCAGGGTGCCTGAGCCACGTGGGGTCCTCAGGCCTTTGCCCAGTGTCCCACCTCACCTTGATGTGCCCTCCTTCATATTCATAGGGATATCTGCAGTCCACAATCACAAACTTCTCCACAATGTTGCTGAATTTTCCGGTCAACAGGGCTACCATCTGCAGGTGGCGCCATCAGAAGGTCAGGCTGGCAGCCAGGGACTGGCCTCTCCCTTTTGTTGGTCCATACATGTAGCCCAACCCCAGAGGTGGTCACAGCCAACAGTAGTCCAAAAGGCCCCTGGAAAATGACTCAACCCTGCTTACCGTTTCGGGTGAGATGTATTTGAGGTCTTGGTGTTTGCCATCCACAGTCTGTAGAAGGAAAGCCTAAAGGGAAGGGATAAAAGAAAAGAGAAAGTAAAATTGGTAAGAGCAGGAGCCTGAAAAGGAAGGAGCTTTGTTCCCAAGTCCAGAGGTCACACCTGCTTTGGCCTTCAAATTCAGCTCTGGTTCCCATAGCCACCAAGAGGCACCTCCTGGGGCTGATAACCAGGGAACAACCTTCCAAGGGGAAGTGAAGGAGGGAATAGAAAACATGAACTTTCTGCTTCCTGCCCCATAGGCCTACCATGTCCAGGAGTGAGGCAGGAGGAGGGGCGACATGGATATAAGGTGGGAAATGTTCTCCAAGGCTGAGGTACAATGAATGGATGCCTAGACAGATCTGGGTAAAGTCAGGAGACCAAGAAAAGCCAAAGGGAGAAGTCTGCATGGGAACATAGGATGCAAAGATAACAAAGGACAAAGAAAAAGAGTCCCTGGGGAGAGAGGAGGAACAGAAGTAGCTACAGGGGCAGGGGTCCCCAATTAGTAATAGGGTAAGTCTCCTGAGGGCCCCATGCTGTGCTGGTACCTTGGAGTAATCTCCGATTAGCCCACGATGGTCACTGTCCAGGATGTTTTCAATCTCATCATGGCACAGGGACTTTGAGCGGAGGACACGGGCTTTCTAAGAGGAAAGGCAGAAGGATGCAGGGGTCAAGGGTGAGGCTATCTGTTCTCTCAGTACTACCATGCCCAGAATACCAGCTGTACCCTCCCCTCTGCCATGAATGACCAAGTGAGTGGAACATCAAGGTGATAGTGACAGCCCAGTCTCAGGAGAAAGGCACTCACAGGTTCCTCAGGCTGCTGCTGCTCCTCCAGGGGGGTCACACTCCTCCTCCGCTTATTTTGGACAGGCATGTCCCTGTCCTGGGGCCGCTCTAGCCTCTTGAGGATGGGTCGGATCACACTGCAGGGCATGGATGGAGAGCGGAAGAGCCGCTGGCACTTGCTGAACATGATGAGGTCCTGGCAAGGGTGGCAGGTCAGGGGTCAGAACACTCAATCCCTAATCCCAAATTCTACCCAGAGGGCAGGGCCACCCCAGAGGCATACCTGTTCTTCTTCCTTATCCAAGGTCTTGACCAATGGGGCACTAATGAGGCTCTCCATGCCTGGGGGAACTGCTTCATCATCCTAAGGTCAAATCGGCAAGGACATGGTCATAACCACAGGCACAAGTCAAACCCCTCAGGCCTGAATCCTCCAGCACAGCTTTCTCTGTCCCCTCAGCAAACACCAGGCCAGCAGCCCTCCCAGACCCTGCTAAGCTTCTCTACCCAGAGCAGCGCCCCCACCCCAAACCCCCAGAACTGCAGGGACCTACTTGCTGTTGGGGCTTGTACTGAGCTGTGCACGTCCCTTCACCCTGCCCAGCTTCCCCTCCACTGTGGCACCAGTCACTTGCCCTTCTCTGATTGGCCAGAGATCAGACTGTGACTCAGTTACCTCAAATACTTCTTCTGACATTGAAATGAAGTCATGTCTTGCTGCTGGGGCTCAGAGCCTCTCTTTTGGGCCATCCCAGGGAGAGAGGTAGGGACCTAACTGGCCAAGACTGTTTACCTTTAAGTCACTCTCCAGAATGTCCACAAATCCATCATCTTCCTCAGTAGTTGCCTCAGCAGGGGTCAGAGAGCAGGACTGAGCCAAGGGGCTGGGCTCCTCTACTTCCATCTTATGCTCAGGGGTAAGACACTGCCAGAGTGACAAACACACACAGGCTACTCAGTGGTGGGGAGGACCAGAGTCAGTCCTCAACCCCTTCCTTCTCAGTGCCTAGGGGGGGTCCCACGCTACCCTTTCCTTCCCCCAAGCTACATCCTAAGGTCCCTCTAAAGGGTCAGCTCTCCTTATGTACCATCAGGTCAGGGGCTGAGCTTGGCCTCTGGGTAAAGGCCTCTCTGCGGCTGGCCCACTGTGTCAGAGTATGGGGAGGGCTGGGATGTGTGGGCTTCCATGGCATCTTGAAGACAAATCCATTCTGTGGGCGAGATGCAAGAGGAGGGGCATCACCGGATGCCAGTGAACCACCAGGCATGCATGCCCCCTTCTTTCCCTGGAGATTTCCCACTTGGGCCTTCCAGAAGCAGCTCACATTTTCTTTGTCTTCCCCAGGACTGCCGGCAGCTCTATCACCTGCCTCACTCTTCCTCCAGATTTCCAGTGTTTGGGAGTTGGTGATGTTCCGTAACACAGGGCTGTGGCCCAGCAGCCGTACCTAGGAAGCCAGGAAGGGCAGCAGATACTGAAGGCTGCATTTCTTGGCTACCAGCCTAGACTCTATTCTCTTCTGCCCCTCCTCCAACTCCCCTGGCCTGCTCAGCCACATATGAAACCCCATGTTCCCCAACCAACTGGGAGGTAGCCCTGGGATGCCTGTGCCCCTACCCAGTCAGCACCCCTATGTTTTCTGTTGGGTCTCAGAGGACACTTACCGGCAAGGACTGGAAACGCCTGATAGAAAACTGCTCACTGCAGAAGGAAACAGGGAAAGATCAGAGCTAAAAGTCCCTGGGGACAGGGACTAAAGGCAGGGAAGATATCCCTCCCCTAGATCCCTTGACATGCCTGGGGGCCAGCCTGTCATGGGCAGAGAGGGTCAGGGACACTTACTTTCGAATAACCCGGCTGGCTGCCTGGATGGCCTGCTCAAACCTAGAAGACAGAAGATGTGGCCCATCTTCCTCTACATCCCATCACCTACGCCCAGCACTAGGCCACAAATCATAAGACCCAAGGACCAGGGCTCAGGCCAGAGCAAAGGGAGGGGGAGGAAGAGGCTCCCTGTCAGTGGGGCCCAGGTATTGAGGAAGGGGAGATGAGAGGCAGCCTGGAATTTTAAAGGCTTCCCTGAATGGAAGAGGGCCCAAAGACAAGCAGTGAAGGAGACAGCTGGGGCAGGTCACAGGGTCATTGAGATATCACCAAGGCAACAGTCTCGCCAGCCTGCATGCAAGCCTTCCACCTGTATGCAAATCACCTAAGTGGGGCCATATGGCTGCCAGGGAAGGCATCCATCCACCCTGTGATGACGGCCATGGGCATCCAGCAATGTGAGTTTATTCAGGGGTGGATGCCAGCAAGGCTGGGCTCTCCTCCCCAAGTGAGGAGCTGATCTGGCTCCTTCCATGACAGGGGCCTGCTTTAATGGCCCCCTGGACCAGCCCCAGTCTGCCACAGCAGACCCCCTAGTGACAAATGTACAGGGTCACATCCTTTCCTCCCTCCTATGGAATTTTCCAGGACCCAGCCTCTGTTCCACCCCCTCCTCCTGCCTTAGAAGAGGCCAGCAGGCAAGGAATTCCAACAGATGTTCCTTTTGAAGCTAAAGCATAAGCTTCTGTATATAGGCCCCGCCCCCCAGCTATGTTACTGAAGACCACCTGCCATGGGGAACTCTTTGTGCATCTGTGCGTACACACTCACACACACACCAGCTTCTTTCTGAGAAACTATAACTGTCAAGGCAGGTGCGGGGGGTGGGGGGGTTGACTGGGCCAAAGTATCAAGGGGTGTCCCTGTCCCCTCAAGAGAGGGCTGTGCTCAGCCAAGTTGGCATCAGGATGACCAATTAATCGGCTTCATTTCCAATTTGCACCTAGTCCTTAGGGGTAAGGCAAGGGCAGCTCTGTGTTGCCCTCCACCCCCACTCAATTCTGTTTCCTGTTTGTGAACAAACCCTGTACCCCGCCCAGTCGGATCAAAAGCTAAGGGAGGAAACAGTCACTGCCCTAAACACAAAGCCACAGTCCCCCAGCTCAGGCTGGGGATACCCAGCTGCCCCTACTAATGGTTGGCAGCTGCTCCACCTGCCTGGGCCTTAACAGCTGGATGGGAACAGCTGTCCTCTGGAAGGCACTACTCACACCCCCTAACAAAGGGAGAGGTATTTGTCCAGAGCAGAGACCACCAGCTCTCTTGACTACCAGGGGTTGGCCAGAGAGTAAAGTGTGTCATGAAACTAGAGATTGCTAATGGGCCAAGGGCCAAATCAGTCTGTAGCCAACAGTGTGCAACTTGGCCTAAAGCAAATCAAAGTTTTGAATTAGTGGGACCATACTTTTAGGTTGGTATTTCTCAAACACACACATATAATATGTATGGGCAAACAAAGGGGACATATGGGCTTGGACTGAAAAACAGACTTGGCTAGTGGGAGCCATCCTCTGCTCCCAGGGAATGCTTTCCCTACCATTCCTGAGCCCACTCTCATCTGGTTTCCATAAGAGCAGACCCTTCCCTGAGACAGGGAGCAAGGTCTGGGAAGGTCAACTAGCCCCAGACAAATGTTGAGGGATCTGACTACTTTCCCTGGCCTCTCCACTGAGTTTAGTAGAACTAGGATTCCCAAAAGTAAGTGGTGAGTCCTTGGTAGTAGGGATCCACCCCCCTTCTCTACTCACGTCTGTTCTGCCATCTGGGGGTCCATAGGGCTGGGGGAATCCATGCAGAGACCTAAGGGGACAGAACACCTTGATCTGAAAGTAGTATTTTCTGTATACTTTCCCCACAGCATCCAAAGAAGAGAAAAAGAAACGTGTTTCTATTTTAAATCTGGACACATTTATTTTAAACAATGAAACAAAAACCTAGGCTCCGGAGGGTGACACACTATCTATCAAAAGGCACAGGGCTTGGCTCCCTGTTCGCTATGGAAACTCCTCTATGTATATTTTTCTAAGCATTTTTCTTAAATTGGTTTAAAATAATTTGGAAGACACAATAGCTTTTTAGAAAAACATTCCAGACTATAAGAGAATGCTCTAAAAGACCAACTTTCAACTGTAAATGCCTTCCAGGTGGGGCTGCGGTTTAGAGACTTTGGCGCCTTGTTTTAAATAGGTAAGATCTCACCTTCCGCAGAGGGCCCCACCCTCTTACCCTCTCCACAGAATGGATTGGGTGTGGTGAGCCTCATCAGAGGTATGTCTTCCAACTTTGTGGGCAGGTTAGGGGAGGCTGCTAAGCCTTTCAGGTTGTAGGAAGGATGTTAATCTGAAGGGCAGGGAAGTCAAGAGGCCCAAGCAGTTCCCCCACTCTCCTGGCACTTGGGGACCTCCCCAGGGACCCTGGGTCTCACCTGCGTCAGAAAATTCAGAGGACTCTGATGACAGGGAAGATTCAGATGCCCGCCTTGACAGGGATAGGTGTGTCAGCCGGCTTCGAAAGGGCAGACTCTTTGGGTTCTCGCTGGGGAGGGAGAAGGGACCCAGGAAAGGAGAAAGATAAATATGTAGAACTCAAGGGCTGGTCCGCCCCTGTTCCTGCATTCCACCACCTCTGAAGGGCCCATCCAGCCTCTACAATGTCCCACGGAGCCCCTTCACTGAGAGAACTTGTGGGAGGTGATCCCATCAGGTCTACCCCTCCTCTCAGATCAGCAAGGCTCAATCTATTAATTGTCTTGTCTGGATTGATTGTTTTAGGAAAAATTCTCCAAGGTGCAGGGAGAGATGAATCAATCCAGGGACAAGAGCAAGGAGGCTGGGCTTGGGGCCCAGAGGGGTCCGCAAAGTAGCTCCAGAGTAGCTTCCTCAGCTCTCAGACCCACACCCATTCATGCTCCTTCCAGGAAGAAGGGCCAAGACCTAGATCTCTATTGCTGCCGGCATCCCAACCAGCACCCTCCTGCCTCCCTACACACTGTCTTAGGGAGCAGGATCCTTCTTTAATCACTAACCCTGGGGGCAGAATGGGGTGGTGCAGGGAGCAGAGGGTCCAACCGGTGAGAACCTCAGCTAAGCCACCCTCAGGTTCCCCCTCTAGGCCCGGAATTAGATTCCCTGCCTGGGGCAAAATGGTGGCTGTTGGGGCAGTGATTAGGGAGACAGCGTGGTAGAGACGAAACGAGGGAGGGGGAGGGGAAAAGGGGTCCACATCAGGTCACCTGGAGGGTGTAAGCCACAGTCTCTGTCTCAATGCCCTTGCCCTGGACTCCTGAAGCAGGGGCAAGGGTGCCTCTGCTCTGTCGGGAAGCCTCCCCGCTCCACCTTTTAGATTCGGCTCCCGTGCCCAGTGTCCCAGGATCCTAGTCCTGGCCTCCTTCATTTCCACGCCCGGCTTTCTCAGGGCGTCCTACCTGCCGAGCCCGGCGAGATTGTGCATGGTCTGGGTCAGGGTGGTGACTGGAGACTTAGAGACCGCAAGCTCCGGGGACTCCAGGAGACCATGAGTCCCCAGCCAGAGGCCCGGGAGGTGGCCTGGACGCTGGGCGCTCTCGCGTACGCCGGCAGGATTGGGAGCCGAGCTTGGCGCAGGCTCGGGCTGGGGCACCTCCATCGCGGCAGGGCGGGCAAAAGGCTGGCTGCTGGGCCCGGCGCAAGGCGGCCAACAGAAGCCCAGCACAGCTGGCCGGGGCCAGGGAGGGAGCGGGCCGGGGTGGGAGTGAGGGAGGGAGGGAGGGAAGGAGGAAGAGCAACGGGACCGGGAGCGAGGGAGCCCAAGGGGAAAGGGATGCGGGGAGGGTGGGGAGGGGTGGAGGGACGCGGGACTCAGGCTGCAGCCGGGGAAACCTCTAGTTGCAGCTGCCACTTCCACCTCCTTATATATTCGAAAAATAACAGCGGCCGCGCCGCCCGACGCCACCAATGGGGGCGCCGGTCAGAGGAAGGCGGGACCGAGGGCGGGGCCCGCCGGGTGAGCATTGCCTAGACTGGTCAAGCCCAGCCCGCCCACTTTCCAGGCACAGGAATTGGGGGTTATGCCACGCCCACTCATCCCCAATCCCGGGCACCAGGATTCTAATTTCCAGAATTCCACCTCTTGGGACTTGGTTTGGAGCAACATACCCCAGAGGAAGCCAAGACCTCCTAAGGGGGGGCATCAGAAAGACCCCCAGAGGTGTAACATTGCCACGACCACCCGGTAGGGACCTTGAGATGCTCCACCTGGCTCCAGGAAGTTTGCCAAACACAGCTGTGCTGCGCGTCCGCGTTCCCTGAACTATTTTACCGACAGAAGCGTTGAGATATGGAGAAATTCATTAATTTTTTCAAGGTCACACGGTTGGGCAGGTGGAGCCAGGATATGCTCCCTTCCAGGAGCCTCTGACCCCAGTAATCTACCTGTCTACGCAACGCTCAGCTCAGCGCCAAGCAGCCGCAGAACGTAATTCACAGGCCCTGCCCCCTTTCCCCTGAGTTCTATTCCCGGTACCCGCCCCCCCTCCCCCCGCAAATGGTTACTTGGCACCACAAATTCCAGCGGAACTGAGGAGGGGAGGCCGCCAGGTTGGATGTGACCCAAGTTTTTCCTGGCAACGCCACAGATCGCCTAGGCATGGATTTCTTTCATTTTTTAAAATTTATTTATTTATTTCTTACATACATGACAGTAGTGGAGTGCATTACATTCATAAATACCAATCACAGTTTTCTTTTTTAAAAAAATATTTTGTATTTTAATTGTAGTTGGGCATAATACCTTTATTTTATTTATTTTTAGGTGGTGCTGAGGATTGAACCCAAGGCCTCACACGTGCTAGGCGAGTGCTCTACCTCTGAGCCACAGCCCCAGCCCCACAGTTTTTTGGGTTTTTTTGTTTGTTTGTTTGTTTGTTTGTTTTTCTTTATTGGTTTTGGTACCGGGGATTTAATCTAGGGACGCTTAATCATTGAACCACAACCCCAGCCCTTTTTATTTTTTTATTTTGAGGCAAGATCTCGCTATGTAGCTGAGGCTGGCTTTGAACTCACTATCCTCCTGCCTCAGCCTCCCCAGTAGCTGGGATTACAGGCGTGTGCAACCGAGCCAGTTTCGGCCTGGATTTCTGCATCTGGAATTTGGGGGGTTGTCAGCGACCAAAGAACTATCTCATTCCCACTGATGGCTTAGCTAATTTGGTGTCAATGACACCATATTGTTTAATTGGAGTTTCTTTGATGAGGAGGGAGGCTGAATTTGTCATTAGTTTACAATGATCATCTTCTAATTATCTAATCACCTTCCAGCTAAGCCTATTTCCCTGGAAGGAGCTGGGAGGGCTGCACCCAAAAGCTAGATTTTGCATCCCATGTCCCCAGGGAAGAGAGGCTCCTGGCTGGGAGGGGGCACAGCTCAGGAAAGCAGGAAAGCACTTTCCCTAGTAATCCCAACTGTTTGTCCTAGGACACTGGGTGGGGGTGACAAAAGGGAGGGCAGGCACCAGGTGGTCAGCAAATATGAGAGGAAAAGAGAAAGAACCTAGCCTGTGAGAGGAGCAACCGAGGTGGGAACTGGGAACTTCTCAATATCTTGCCCAGTTCCTATGCTGTGCCAGGAGCTATACTTTTGAGGCAGGCAGGGATAGCTGCCCCGGCCCCCTTCATTCTCCCTGGGTCTCAAGCTAGAAACCTAGCTTCTAGAAGCTAGCTCCTATCTACATTAATGGCCTTAGTTCCCCAAGTGGAGGGGAATGTGCCACTCTCTCAGACAGCTTCTACTCCAAAGACTTGCAGTATAACAGTTCTGAGGGTTGCAATTATAGAGTCAACACAGCAGGTCTCCACCTCCCCACCCCCTCCCACACAAATCCCCACAGGGTATTTGAGGAGGAAACCACCTGCTGTGTGGATTCTGAAAATCTCAGGAATCCTTTGCTATCCCACAGGTGGAGGTCCACACATCAGCTCTGTGTGTCCAGCTGAATCTCCTTTTGCCAATTAGATCATGGAGTATGTGCTCAGTTAAAACAAAAACCAGTCCATAAAATTAAGTTAAAAGAAATATTTTCAACCAGCATAGTAACAGGACCAAATCTAGCCATATTCTGTTCAGGACACCTGTGGACTATGGAAGGCTCCATCTCCCCATGGAAGCAAAAACCCTGGCACTAAGCACATCAAACTCTATACTCATTCAAGAGCATCTGATGTGACCCCTGGGGCCTGGGCAGAAGAGGAGCAAACATACTTCTTTTGTTGTTGTTTTAATTTGTAATGAATACTTTAATGCTATTAAATAAAGCATTTTTAAGCTTCACCTTTGTGGGACTTCCCCTCCCTGTCGATATTCTGTCATGGCTCATGGCATGTTTAATGTTTTGTTGTTGTTGTTGTTGTTGTGTGTGTTGGAGATCAAACCCAGGGTCTCCCACATGCTAGACAAGTGCTCTACCATCAAGTTACACCTCCAGCACTTCTTTTAATTAATTAATTAATTATTTTGGTACTGGAGATTGAACCCAGAGGGGATTTTACCACTGAGCCACATTCCCAGAGCTTTTTATTTATTTAATTTTTTTGAGACAGGGTCTTACTAAGTTACTTAAGGCCTTGCTAAGTTACTGAGGCTGGCCTCAAACTTGTGATCCTCCTTTCTCAGCCTCCTGAGTCACTTTTATTTTTAGACAGTCTTGCCAGTCCGGCCTCCCACTTGTGATATTTCTTCCTCAGGTTTCTGAGTTGCTGGGATTACAGGCATGGGCAGCCACACCCAGCTATGTTAATGGGTTTTAGGTAATCCTAGAGGCTCAGGAGACTGAGGCAGGAGGATTGAAAGTTCAAAGCCAGCCTCAGCAATGGGGAGGGGCTAAGCAACTCAGTGAGACTCTGTCTCTAAATAAAATACATAATAAGACTGAGAATACAGCTCAGTGGCTGAGAGCCCTTGAGTTCAATCCTGGGTATCCCTGCCCCTCCAAAATGATTACCATGGCACCACAAATTCAAACAAAGTTGAATATTTAAATGTTACAAAAAGGCAGTGAAGCAGGACCAATGTTCAGGACCCCTCCCCACAGGCAGCTACTATTATAAATGTGTTACATATTTTACAGAAGATAGTTTATAGCCAGTAGAAATGTAACAGCAGGCATGAATGTTAGCCACATATAGGATTTAAAATTTTCTAGTAATAACAACATTTAAAAAAAATAAAATAAAATGCTGGGCATGGTAGCCCATGCCTGTAATCCCAGCAGCTTGGGAGGCAGAGGTAGGAGGATCGAAAGTTCCAGGCCAGCTTCAGCAACTTAGAGAGGTCCTGTCTCAACATAAAATATAAAAAGGGTTGGGGAGGTAACTTAGTGCTTGAGTGCCCTGGGTCAATCCCTGCTACAAAACAAAAACAAACAAACAAAAAAAGGAAATAGGAGATATGGTTCAGTGGTAAAGTGCTTACCTAGCATGCCCAAGGCCTTGGGGTCAATCCTCAACATTGCAAAAAAATTAAATAAATAAAAAATAAAAAGAAACACAGGAGACAACTCTGAACATGGCAACATGTCAATAAAATTATTAATGAGATATTTTACATACTTTTTGACAGTTTCAAAATCCAATGGATAGCTTTAAAACCTGGATATCTTCAAAATCCAATGTGCATTTTACACTCACAGCATATCTCAACTTGAACTTGCCACATTTCAAGGACTTCATAGCCACATGGGTTAGTGAACAATGCAGGAATATACATTTACAAGCATGTGTACGCCTGTATTTTTAAAACTACAAAAACAATATATGAAACATTGTTCCATACATTTCTTTCTTCACTTTACTTAGAGATGGATCCATATTAGTACCATATGGCCTATGCTTACTCAAGTCCCTAATGCTGAACATTTAGGTTATTGGCTTTGACAATGATTAACAGCAAGTACATCTGTTGATGACTGGGTGTTGCCTATCTATAGAATAAATTCCTAAGATGGGGCTACTACTGAGAGAAACAGCATATGTATTAAAATCTCCTTTTCCATTTTCCTGCATCTTACTTATCTCCTTAAACTGAGTGAGCTACTGAAGAATAGGGACCAAGTCATTCACCTATTCCAGTCTCCAGGCATCTTGCATAGGTCAAGATCAAGGTTGGTCTCTGACCTTAATAATCCATTTGTAAAGATTTCATTTCAGAAGAGGATAAAAGTATACATGGAAGTATGTGTATTGAGTCATTGTGTTTCAATATGGAAGGTAGGTTCTCTGTATTTTCAATATCTGCAGGCTTTAAAGAGAATGGGCACTTCCAAGACTGAGGCAGGAGGATTGAAGTTCAAGGCCAGCCTTAGCAACTTAGAAAGACCCTAAAATAAAAATAACTGGAGGGGGTGCTGGGAATACAGCTTGGTTGGTAGAGTGCTTGTCTTGTATGCACAGGCCATGGGTTCAATCCCTAGTACAAAACAAAACAAAACAAAAAACAAAACAAAACAAAACAAAAAACAAAACAAAACAAAAAACAAAACAAAACAAAACAAAAAATCCACAAACAACTGAACAACTGAACTGGGGCTGTAGCTCAGTGGTAGAGCACCTCTGGGTTCAATCCTCAGTACTTAAAAGGCAGTTGAGCAGGGATGCTTGATGCGAGACATCTGATGGGCTCAATATGCAAAATGACAATTATTGGATGATTACATATTCGGCTCCTGAAAACGGCATTTAAAAAATTTTGAGGTTTTATTTATTCGGTACTGAGGATTGAA